ATCGAGAAAATTTTAGGTAATCGTGTTTTTGTCTAACATAGTCCTTAACATTAATCCTCAACTTGACCATTAATTTAATTCAAAATTAATTCTGCAATGTTTTCGGCATAAAGGAGGAACTTGTTAAGCCATTTGAGGTTAAAATTGTATATTGTTTTATTACCTCTGACTGTCACGTGCACCCAAAAAAAGTGTAAAGCGGAGTCTTTGATAATTTGATAATACTCTTATTCCCCAGCCAATGCAGAGGTAATAAAACCACACACAATATGCAAATAAAAAAACAAAAGAGCAAGGTGTTCGTGCAACTACGTTGCATTTTCTTAAGAAAACTTTCTTATAAAACTTCCGTAATAACAACTACAAACTGTAAAAACAACTATACAGAGTAGGTAAACATTTAATTAACTGAGAATGCTCTAAGCCCGTCGTCTCAAAGCGGAGCTTTCAATTCTCTGACAACTTGGAATCCGCGGATTACCGCAACCGAGACTTGCGTAGTCTGCAGTTGGGAGGCTGTGGGGGAAGTTATTTTGCATTTATTACGCTGTAGAGATGAGCCGTCAGGTCAGGAATTAACGTCCGTTTTAAATTTCCATGGTTTGCAAACAAAGTGGCTTCGATTTCTGGCCGGCACCAATTTATATGTGCTCGGCGGTGAAGCATAACATCCTGAGGAAACTTGTATGTCTTGGGATTTAAAAATATTTCGAGGACACCCAAAGTCCGAAATACAGCCTTCGCGCATGCGATGACACGTATGTAGATTACTTAACTTTTTTATGCTTTAAAATCTATGTCGGTTACCATCAGACTAATAGAGTGAGGATTATGCTTGCGCACACACAAGTGCACTATATTCCTGTCCTGTCCACAAATCTGTATTCTCCGTTGAGACTGGCGCTGTCGTCGTGCCAAAAGTGAAACACATCGAAGCCTAAATCGCACTATCAAAGTTCCGAATTAAAAACAGTATATATAGAATAGCTCCGAACTATCACACGGATCTCCCCACCAAAAAAATGTACAAAATAGGGTACCCCTGTACCAGCTCCTGCCACTTGATTGCATCCAGCGCAGAGCAGTTCGAATCGTCGACGATCGAGTTCATTCTGATCGGCTTGACTCACTGTGATGTAGCATCTCTTTGATATTCTATCGTATATATCACTAGAGTGCTCAGTGGAATTGTTCGGACTAATTCCAGCCGCTCATGCCTGTCGTTCCCATGAACAACTGCAACACCAGGGGAAGTGCAGATGCGTTGCCGGCCTTTCACAAAAGAGTAGGCTCTTTTCTTGAAGGTTCCTAAGCCGCATCGTTCCGGAAAAATCATTGGTGTTAGCCGATTCCATAAAGAAGTTGTGCGAGAAAGAGAACAAACACAACCGCGGCAAACCGAAAAAAAACCCCCCCCCCGCCCCCCCCCCAAGCTTCTGGATAATCGCATAATAGTCAATCGCCAATAATCCAGATGGTATGGATAATATCTCTACCAATAATTGCACACATTTATAATCGTCTCTCAGGGACTCAGGGACGTCGGCACCACTATTATTGATTATGTATGACTTTATAAAGAAAATAATTTAGCTAATTTTATTTTACATAGCAAATTTTATTTATAAAGGATTTATATTTTATAATAGGATAGACGACATCGTAACGAATTTTACAAGTACAATTTTGTATTATTTGCCCGCCCCAGCTACGACTGTAATTAAATGAAAGCCTTTGTGCGAACTGAAATGTTCACTGAAACGTTTCTGAAACTTCGCTTCAGATTCACGGAACACTTTATTAATATTTTAATTTCATGCTGCAATAATTTCTGCAGGACGGTTGAATGATTTATTAAATTATAAATGCAAGATTGTTTTCTAATTACAAGACTACATAGTTTATTTTTGCGATTGTTGTAATTGTTCCGGGTCTGGATGTTTTTATGTGGTAGAGCCATCCTGCAGTTATATTAGTAGTATAGTTGTAGTATTAATGGGTCGAATCGATCGGGTAATGACCACACTCTCACAAAATACCAGCGTAAAATAGTAGCTTAATGCTGCTGTGTCTCGTATGGTGAGTAGAGAACCGGATATCCTTTATACTGGAAACGAGGCATTCCGTCTTAATCCTTATGGGTGACAAGGCATCTGCATTTTCACTCGTAATCGAGGATAGATGTCTATGTGCCACAACAACCGCTTACCATGAGGTGGACTGTGTGCTCGTTTGTCACCCTATGCTATAAAAAATATCTCGGTGGACTTTAATTGTTATTCGATTGAAGCATTGTAAAGTTTTATTTTATTTGTTATAGCCTATCAAAACTTCACTGCTGATCACGACGGCTCCGTGGTCCTGTGGAACAAGTATTTGTATGGCCTACAAGTAGTTGTTCCTGGTCTGGAGATTTATTGAAATTTATATATGTATACTGTTTCGACGAACGATTTCTTTACCGTTTCTAGGGCATTTTGTCTTGCCTTTAATATGTTTCTTATAAAATATAAATGTTAAGTTGTTTTATAAAACATTAAATGAATATAATAAAAACGAGCTGAATATAAGAAAAATCTTTTTAGCGATACCTACCTACATGTATCCCTGAGGATTGATATACTCGTAGAATGCCTCGTCACCACTTTAAAGGATCTTCGGCTGTCTACCCTAACCATGCGTAACACAGCAGCGTTAAGCTACTATTTTACGCTGGTGTTCTGTGGAAGCGTGGTCATTTTCCGGTCGAACCCACCCATTTGATCTACAACCATGATATAGTTGCAACGTGGCGCTACCAATACCTGACGTAGTGTTAGAGCCACGTTGTATAATTACACTACAACACAGCACATAATTTTTAAATACTATTCATGTTTTTTATAGGATAGGGTGACAAATGAGCACACAGTCCAACTGATGGTAAGTGAATGCTGTGGCCCATAGACATAGACATCTACATTTATCCTTAATCTGGTGTTCTGTGAGAGCGTGGTCCTTCTCCGCGAGACGACCCTTTCATGCCACAACCACAATATAGCTGTAGCGTGGGTCTACCACGTATAACACACATATAATTGCGGGCACAAAGCTATCCACTCGTCAAAGTAAGCATTTATAGCCCATGTAACTTTATAGGTAGGTTTGAATTGAGTAACCGTAATACGGAGACGGCACATTTAACTCCACTGACTGACTGACATAAAGGTCAATAGCTTTTATATTCAATTTCGTACGTACGTCTTTTAATTAGGTTTGAAAAGTTATGAAAAACATAAATTGCTTTTTGAATTTCGCGTAACTATGTGTATATTTAAGAGAACAAAGATTGCTCTGTATTACATAGCTGCCCAACGGGCCGGAAGTAACGTAGTAAGCGGGTGGGGCGGTAGTGATTGCACAATATAGCGATGTAAATGTCGATACATTTTTTGCTACAAATATTTTAAAAAATCCAATTTGTTTTTACAGAATATTATAAACCTTGTAAGTTTTTTGACCGACCGTTTCAGAAGTAGGGTAATATTTTTCTGTGCGCTCTGTAGCCAAAACGGCTTGATGCATTTTGATTATTATTACTTATGATGCGTCGTTAGATTCGTTTTAATTGTGACGGTGACTAGATTACAAAACCCTTTACTTTTAGTTAACTTTTTATGTAGTCGGAGTCTTAAAATTACTGTTTTAACTATTGGTCTTGTTTAAGTCGATACTTATAATAAGCTGTATCCGTTAAACGTGTTGGCTTCTAGCTGAATACACGCTAACAACTCCAGATTAACGTGTTTGTATCACGTTACCACCGCTTTAAGGTCTTCGCACATTATAACAACTCCACGCCAACGCGGCAGCAACTCTACTCACACTCTCGATGAGTAGTCAACTAGTTGATCCACCCAATGGTCACTAGTGGACAACGCGGTGTCAAGGAGTGGCCAACGCGGTGCCAACGAGTGGGTTATTCAACAGACAACTCGTCTAACCTCAGTTTTCGGTTAAATTTTGTCCAAAGAAGTCGTGTTGCTTATGAAATGTCGAACTTTACATTCAGTGAACTGGCGATTATAGCTATTATATTTGATAATGAAAATGAACGAAACAGCAGGAAAAGAAGATATTGGGTACATGATTTGTTGCGACAAAGGAAATCAGAAGGGGAATATTGGAATATCCGGAAACGTCTGCTAGATGACGAAGAAAAATTCTATATCTATTTGCGTATGCCGAGATACTTGTTTTATTATATACTTAATATTATTGAGGACGACATCTACAAAAGAAACACGCGATTTAGAGAAGCTGTATCACCGGAAGAAAAGCTGGCAGTGACATTAAGGTAAGCAATAAGAAACTTTTTTATAATTTATATGTATTTATTTATATATCAAGTTAAAGGATAAATCAAAGCAAAGCAATTTTACTTTAATTGTGTTAAGAAGAACCATCAACCCTCGATTCTTCCATAGGCGTTGTATTTTGCTGTTGGGTGCTAGCGGTGCTACTACCGGTAGTACCTGCATTTAGGTTTTGAGTTGTGTAGCCAGAAGTTCCTGGTGCAAAAAAATCATCATAGTAACAGTTTCGATTATTTTGCAGTTCTTGTATTTCAGCTTCCGAAACTAAATTAAAAATTCTTGACTTTAAAAGTGCTTGATTATAGGTAGATAATTTTTTTACTGTGCTAGAAATACTTAAAAAAAATTTATCCATTTCGTCATTCTGCTTTCCATCTTCATCGTTTTTTTTTTTTTAATAAATATTCCATTAAAACCGCCGATGCACTTGTTTCTTGCAATTTCTTTCGTTTTGTCGTTTTTGGAATGTCAGGAAACACTGATCTAGATGAATCGTACATAGACACCGAAGATCGCTCCGAGATAATTGACGAGTCTTGAGATTCTTCATTATTAGTCACATTGGCAAGAATTTCCGCAGCAGATAAGCTATTTTCATCATCACCATCATCTGTGTTGTCCACTGACGTCACTGTAGACCGTTCTTTATAATGTGGTAATAAAAAAAGACATTTCAGTTTCATATTGCCATTTTTTATTAGTATTAGCACTCTGACCACTTTTAGTTGCTTTCTTTTTAATGGCTCTTCTATGATATTCCCTTAAGTTTTGCCATATCTTCTTACATTCTGACGCTGTAACAAAATAATATAAATATAAAGAAAAATTGGTTGTTTCAGGTACTTGATTAGTGGCTGTTCATTTAGGACTATGAGTTCAAGCTTTCGGTTAGGCGAAAGTACCATCCGGTCGATATTAAAAGATGTGTGCAATGCGATTATAAATACAATGAAGGGGAAGTTCATGCCCACACCTACTACCGAAGACTGGAAAAGAATCGCAGATGGTTTCAATAAAAAATGGAATTTTCCAAACTGTATAGGTGCCATCGACGGCAAACATGTAAACATAATTGCTTTATAGCTGTCGATATAGGGGCCTATGGCAAGAATAGTGATGGCGGAATTTTGGCATCGTCAAGATTAGGAAGAGCGATTGAAATGAATACATTTAATATTCCAACTGACACACCATTACCTGGTACTGAAATAATAATGCCACATGTTTTTGTAGCCGACGAAGCGTTTCCTTTAAAAAGGAATTTATTGCGACCATATCCATGTTCAAGTGGCATTTCAGAAAAGGAAAGAATATACAATAATCGCTTATCGCGAGCTCGCAGAGTAGTTGAAAACGCGTTCGGCATCTTATATCAAAAATTTGGAATTTATAATAAGAATTTGCATTTACATCCAAAATATGTTGATATTGTGGTCTTTGCGACGTGTATTTTACACAATGTCATGCGGTGTTATAATATAACATCCGATGATGAAGTCAACACAAGGCAGAGTTCGGCCAATAATGATGATGAACAGAGATTACTAAGTAATCTAAGTACAATTCCAGAAGATATAAGTGAATCTTCGGCATCTGCTTTTGAAACTCGTGATATGTTTGCAACTTATTTTCAATCTCCCGAAGGACGAGTTCCGTGGCAGCATTTAATATAGATCATGTATAATTAATATGTAATAATCGTAAGAAGTTGGTTATAATATTATTGGCTTATTAAGAATATTAAACAAGTTTCTATACTAAGCTGGGATTTTATTACTGATTACCTATATTAAATAAACGTAAGGCACTTTATTATAACATACAGAAACCCAAACTAAAAAAAATATATATATGACGTAGATTTAATATTTTATATCATTAAATTCTGGGATTTTATATTACTGTATGTGAAAAAACTAATTTTTACGATAAACCAAGATTTTTCGAGTGTCCAAGTAGAAAATCGTAGGTACTGTTAACTGTACAATAACATACCTACTTTTTGGATGTAACAGGTTGAATTAAATTTTCTCAACAATGTACTTTAATGAAATGACTTATAAGTTTTAACATTATTATTAATATCTATTAGAATCACACATATTTATTTGTTCGATAGCTGAATTTCTGTAGATTATGGCAAAATCAATAACTCAAAAAAAAAATTCTTACCTGGTTGCGACAATACAATAGCGATTTCATTCCATGCCTTTTCCTTCTTATGTACGTCACTATATTTCGGATCACGAAGGTCGTATAGTAGCGGATATTTTCGCACTTCTTCTATCAACTTTTCTTTCAGCATGATTTTCGAAAAATTATCACCGTGTACCGCCAACGTGCACTCCGTCCTTCGATTCTATAGTGAATGATGGCGGGCGGGGGGAAGGCACGGGGCGGACGGGTGGGCTGGCAAATGGTTGCCCGTCACGCGTCAGTCGCAAACGCATAGTCGTTACGTGGACAACGTTTGGTCGTTGCGTGGACGACGTATGGTCATTGCGTGACAAACGTGTCGGGGTTGACCTCTAGTGTACGATGCGTAGGCCACTCGTTGTACACTACTTTATAATCATTTTTTGAAATTGAACCTTGAACATATGATACAGGGCTTAAATTTCAATGTCTAGCATAGAGTCGAGTCGCCGGTGAGTTGTTATAATGTGCGAAAACCTTTAATAAACCGTGCTATCGTTCATACACGGTCAATGCGTTGTCCACTCATTGACAATGCTTGAATGACTAATGGAATGTTGAGCAGATGGATAGTTATAGTTAAATTCCAATAACCGGGTGGTTACTGGAATTAACTATCCATATCAACATTCCATAAAAAAGATTTATCAAAATCGGTTAACAAAATACAGTGGACTTTTTAACTCCTTTTTTCTTTGAAGTTAGCTAAAAATAAAAGTTGTAATTTGACTTATGGTTATGGTTAAACTTTGAGACGAATTTTTAGTTCAAATATTTTACCGTTGATAGATAGGGTTATCTATCACAATACATTTTTCATCAACGGTAAAATATTTGAACTAAAACTTCGTCTCAAAGTTTAAACCATAAGTCAAATTACAACTTTTATTTTTAGCTAACTTCAAAGAAAAAAGGGGTTAAATAGTCGACTGTATTTTGTTAACCGATTTTGATAAATATTTTTTATGAAATAAGTTACACTTTAGGGGTTGTTTTATATAATTTTAAAGAAAAGAATCCACTCTACGGATGGCAAAATAGGGGACGAAATTTTTAACGGAACTATTAAGACGACATTGAGATTGTGATATTCTTTAGATGCACTCAGAAGAGTAAAAAAGTAATCGTAAATAAAAGGTAAAACCCGACTTCAAACAAATGAAAAGAAAAAGGAATTTCTATACTATGTCTTAAACTACCTTACCACATATAAAATCATTATATTATTTTTAGTTGTTTTAAGTTTGCTTTTTATTAAAAGTAATTTTTTTATCAATTACCATTAGTTTTTATCAACTACAATTATTTTTAGTTACCGTCTCATAGGGGGACACTAGCTATAGTTATGACGCTTTGGCCAACGGATTGGCAAGCGCAGTTTTCTTATTTAAGTCGTTATTAGGAAGACGCTGCTGCTCATCTCCTTATTTGTTTCCTTCTGTCACCTCTTATGATCCACGGGATGATATGGGGTAGTGGATCTTCATACACCGTCACTACACAGTATAGCATATCATGTTTATTACGATGAATACTATTTGCACAATGATTTACTTTTTATTTTAAACGTAACGAACAAACGAGTATGCTCACCTGAAAATACAAGTTTCTTTCTCGATATCGATATAACAGTGACGTCACTAGCGATCGGCTTTAGGGCGTGTACGCTTGCGCGTGTATGTATCGAGCGATTCCGACTCCCGCTATATGTACCGCTGTATGTACATAGATTACTATCGCGTGCCTTCTCTCGGCAGCTATATATTTTGTTGCTTTGTAATTGTTAATATTTTAAAGTGCGATCCAACCATGACGCTCTATGTATGAAACCTTTGACTCATTAATTTGGGAGAGTTGTTTGACATAGTAGTCACGTTGGCAGACGGGTGGCTGACCGCAATGGTTATATATATATATATATATATATATCATGTTTCAATTTCCCTCAGTCGCCTCTTACAACACTCATAGGATAATATGGGATAGTGGATTCTCATACGCCACCACTATGGCTTACTTCCTTTTGCCTATTCAAGCTAACTTTTGCCTATTCATGTACTGATAACCCCAGCTTTAGTCGACAACAACCAGGTGAAATCAAAAGTGGAGATATTTTACTGAAAGTAAGGAATTCCATCTTAGTCCTCAGGGGCGATAACGCATCTGCATTTTGATTTTTAATCGAGAATACAGGAAAATTACTGCTACTCGTACTACCTATGATTTTTTTAAATTCTTTAGCTTTATGTAACGTTCATGAAGTTTACAATGGGCGCTATTAGAATATCAGCGCTGCTATCATTTAGTAAGGTAGTATTCTTCTATATCTGGTATTTTTTATCTCGTGGTATTTTTTTTGTAATGTCCAATTAAGTTTTTTTATTTTTTTTCTTTCTTTTCATTACAATATTTCAGCACAATTTAAAGTTACATCTTAGATATTCGCAGATACACGGGCGATGAATACAATTTTGATATCTTGAATTCTACTGCTTAAATTATAAACGATAGAATTCATAAAAATAATTTTATCTATGACGAAGTCTTAATGTTTTTATGAGATCGTTTTATCTTTACACGTATTAAGTCGTAATATTTTCCCAACTCGTAAAGTAAACCGATTGGCTCTATATAGCGTTTAGTGTAGCGTCTCTATCGATGGGGCGGTGCTTAGTGATATTTACGACGCGGCGGCAACGGGCCGTGAATAAACGTTGACTTCGGAAATTTTCGGCAGTTTCTTCGAGGTGTCGTATTGTTGAGAATCTGGATTACATTTGTTTGTGATATTAACTAAATAAAGGGCGTAGTAGCTCAGATGGTTAACGCTCGCTGTAAATATAACAGAACGCGAGTAATCCGGGTTCGATCCCCGCCGGCACCAATGAAATTGTTAATTGCAATCTTATGTGCTGATTTACCACGTGCTCGGCGGTGAAGGAAAACATCGTGAGGAAACCTGCATGTCTGAGGAATAAGATAAAAAAGAAATATTTCGAAGACATGTGAAGTTCGCCAACACGCATTGGGGCAGCGCGGCGGACGCTTCCTTGCCCTAAAACCCTCTCAGAAATGAGGGGAGGCCTGTGCCCAGCAGTGGGACGTATATAGGGTGTAACTTTACTTTACTTTACTTAACTAAATAATCATATATTTTATATACGTGGTAGAGCCGTCATCTGGGGAAGGACCACGCTTCCATAGAATACCAGCGTAAAATAGCAGCTTTATGCTGACAAACTTCAATGTAAAACAAGGCACAAGAGAGAACGATGAGCTGAAGGTAGGGAAATTTAGAATACGGCAACGGAATTTAAGGGGCCAGCAGCTGGGCGACTTCATGAGAAGAGGGATCTTTTATTATGAACTCTTCAATGTAGTGGATAATGAAGAACTCGTGGAAACTGTCCATGCGGAGCTAAGATCTGCAAGACCCGCTATAGTAGAATACAAAAACTTTCCGATTACACTCTTAATCTCTCATGGCTGTTAGACGTGAGATGAAGCTGCAGTCTTCAGCAGATTTGAGAGCATACAGGCAACTGAACAAATAGATCTCCAAATTTATGCGACGGGAGCTTGTATTTAAGTTGCGCATGTCCCTTTTTGTAATTCTGCATTAGAAGCGATAGAGCGAAACCAGCGCTCCAAAATTTTTGCTAGAGATCTGGATGCATCGTTTCGTTGCCGGGTTCCGGGACACTTGAAATTTTAAGTGAGATTAAGAGGTTCTATGGGTAGCTGGACATATCGTCGTTGGAACCACACGCAAGTGCAATTAACGATACGAGAGCAAGTTATCCGACACTATTCCGATGATATTCCGGGCGTCAGTCTGAGCGATATTAGAATTACTCTTAAAAACTGCAAGTCCACGGGTGACGATGAAATTGCAGCTGAGCTTCGGAAAGAGGGCGGGAAACCGGTTCTTGAAGTCTTTCAGAAACTCTGTAATTCCGTCCTCCATGTTGGCACTACTTCAGGGGCGTGGAACAGAAGAGAGGTGGTCTTGTTCTTCAAGAAATGCGACAACGCTCTCTTTAACAACTACAGACCGATTTCCCTTCTGAGCCGCATCTACGCGCTGTTTTCGAGGGTCATAGCGAATCGTTTCGCACCCAAAATCGACGACTTCCAGTGTCCCGATCAAACCGGTTTCGGAAAAGGCGTTAGCACCATCGACCACACACATACTCCTTGGAAAATTGTTTAGAAGATCGAGGAGTAGAATCTGCCACTATGTCTTGCGTATGTGGACTATGAGAAAGCCTTTGATTTCGTCGAAATTTGGGTGGGGCTGCACTTCCTTCAGTGGTGCCAAGATGACTGTCGCTATATCGAAGTACTGAAGTGTCTGTACAGTTAAGCCACTATTTCTAACCGAATATAGGACAAATACTTCGACTAGGCAAGTCCAACTTCGAACGAGAGGTCAATCGACGGATTCAACTTGGCTGGGCAGCGTCCGGGAAATTACGATATCTACTCGTCAGGCATACCTCAAAACTTGAACACGAGACTGTACAAACAGTGCGTGTTGCCAGCGGTGACTTATCGATCTGAATCGTAGTTCTTCACTTCTGGCCACATGGACGGCCATGAGGAAGCTCAAGGTCACTCAGCAACATGTAGAGAGGGCTATATTTCTCTACGTGACATGCTTAAAAACGAGTATAATATTAAATCATTGGCGTTTAATTTCTTCTCTGTACAGGGGGACCCTTATTTTAAACCGGCATTAGAGAGTGTAGAGTAAACAAACATCTTAACATTTGATAAACGAAATTTTTATTTCTTACGTACTAATAAAACTCTTTTTTATCACCCGACTGCTCCAGATGGAGGATAATGATTTTCTAGCATATGTATGTATGTATGTATGTATGTATGTATGTATGTATATTTCTTTGGCACGCTCTGTAACCTAAATACCTTGATGGAGCTCAACATATAGTTGTCGTTAAAACTGTCTTAGTTGTAGAAACAAGATATAAAACTCTTTTGTTTTCATTAAAAAAATTTATGCATTCGGGATATTTTAGTTACTGTTTTAACCTTTGGAGTTGTTTCGCAATCCATTGCCTGAGAGTCATGCGCAAGATAGCAAAG